ACTCTTGATGTTTTTCAAATAAACCCGGATTCAAACTTGAATTTAGAAACTATTGTTACAAAATCTGGTACAAATCCGGATGAGGAAAATCAGACTTTAGAATCCGAATTTGTACCAGAATTTCCTGACCAAGACCAAGCTGTACATGAAACAAGGGGCTGAAATATTTCGGACAGGACATCCCTAGTGCCATCACCCAAATTAAATCTCACTAGTGAAAAGAATGGGACCAAAACAGGTACCAACATACTAACCTATTCAAGGAGAAAATCTTCAAAGGAAAAAGGTCATATCTCTTTACACAACCATGAATCCGAACCAAGGGAGGAACCTAAACAGTCCGAAATTCTAGGTAACAATCAAACTGAGTTCGTCCCAAAAGTTCAATCTAATCCTGAGTCTTGTAATGATCTTGATGTCCTTATTGCTGCCCGGAAGGGCATTCATTCCTACACTAGGCACCCCATGTCTAACTATATTTCCTATGAAAAGTTGTCTCCTAATTTCTTAGCCTTTACTTCACAACTTTCTTATGTGGAAATTCCAAAAAGTATACAGGAAGCTTTACAAGTTCCCGAGTGGAGGAAGGTTGTGTATGAGGAGATGAGGGCCCTAGAGAAGAATCAAACATGGGAAGTGACGGATCTGCCACGAGGAAAAAGGACTGTGGGCTGCAAGTGGGTCTTTACAGTCAAATATAACTCGGATGGAACTCTTGAACGATACAAGGCTCGCTTGGTGGCCAAAGGTTTTACACAAACCTATGCCATTGACTATCTTAAGACCTTTGCCCCAGTAGCCAAGTTAAATACAGTGAGAGTACTTCTCTCAATTGCAGAAAACCTTGATTGGCCTCTTCAGCAGTTAGATGTAAAGAATGTGATCTCGAATGGAGACTTGGAGGAAGAAGTGTACATGGCCTCTCCACCAGGGTTTGAAGAGAAGTTTGACTCCAAAGTTTGCAAACTAAAAAAGTCCTTATATAGGCTCAAGCAATCTCCGAGAGCCTGGTTTGAAAAATTTACTCATTCGATAAAAATCAGGGATATGTCTAAGCTCAGAGTGATCACACCATGTTTATGAAACACTCCAAGGATGGTAAAGTGGCGGTCTTAATAGTGTATGTAGATGATATTATTCTCACTGGTAATGATGTCGCAGAGATGGAGCAGTTAGAGAGAAGATTAGCCTCAGAATTCGAGATCAAAGACTTGGAAACCCTGAAATACTTTCTAGGAATGGAGGTTGCAAGATCAAGAAAAGGGATTGCTGTCTCGCAAAGAAAATATGTGCTAGATCTTCTCAAAGAGACTGGGATGAGCGGATGCAAGCCTACCGATACTCCCATAGATCCAAACCAAAAATTAGGTAATTGCAAGGATGGAGTACCAGTTGACACAGCTCGGTACCAGAAGTTAGTGGGAAAGCTGATTTATTTATCCCATACCCGACCTAACATAGCCTTTGCAATAAGTGTTGTGAGTCAGTTTATGGACTCACCTTGTAAAGAACATCTTGAAGGAGTATATCGTATTTTAAGATACCTTAAAGGTACACCGGGAAAAAGACTGTTGTTAGAGAAAGACGAAGAAAAGACTATTGAGGTTTACACTGATGCAGACTGGGCAGGTTCCATTACAGATAGAAGGTCTACATACGGTTATTGCCCTTTTGTATGGGGCAATTTGGTTAACATGGAGGAGCAAAAAGCATAATGTAGTTGCCCGGAGTAGCGCATAAGCTGAATACTGAGCCATGGCACATGGAGTATGTGAGATATTGTGGATCTCATTACAGATAGAAGGTCTACATACGGTTATTGCCCTTTTGTATGGGGCAATTTGGTTAACATGGGGAGCAAAAAGCATAATGTAGTTGCCCGGAGTAGCGCATAAGCTGAATACCGAGCCATGGCACATGGAGTATGTGAGATATTGTGGATCAAGCGGATTCTTGATGAACTTAGAAGACCAGTTGAGATGCCAATGAAGTTGTATTGCGACAACCAAACTGCAATTAGTATTGCTCACAATCCTGTGCAGCATGATCGAACCAAGCATGTTGAGATCGATCGTCATTTTATAAGGGAGAAGCTGGAGGCTGGAACTATCTGTATGCCATAGCTGATATTCTTACCAAGGGACTCTTCAGACCGAACTTCAAGTTTCTCACAAGCAAGTTGGGCATGTTGAACATCTATACACCAACTTGAGGAGGGGTGTCGATTATGATAGATTTTATCTTCTATTTATTAGGGATAGTTATTAGGAGTGTTAACTTTTAATAAGAGATTTGAATTAATATTCAAATCTTATAGCTTATCTTATTAGTTTATCTTATCCTTTAGAAGGGATAATTAGTTTCCTAGTTTATGGCTTATCAGTAGCTTTCCTTACTTCCTATATATATTCACGTACTCTTTAATAAAATAAGTAATATTGATTATTCTTCTCAAAATTGTTAATATGAAAGTATTACAAGAGGGACTCCATAGAAAATGCAATAAGAGAAAAGTCATCCCCTTCTTCTCCATCTTCCTCACCATGGTAATATGTTTTTCTTTCCTCTCTATTCTCTTTCCTCTTACCAAAATACAAGTATACAACCAAATAGAACGCAAAGCTCCTTGTAACACAGTATCACATTAAGGTCATAACCCATTTCAATATTCACAAGACAACAAAATACTCCAAACTTTCCATGATTTGCCGAGGTTCTATGTCAGTTCTTTTTTGCTAGAAGGGTTTTATGTGAGTTCATTAACAGCTATTAAGTGATTAGAAAACTCATTGCAATGAAAATGAATCATTGATATCACTGGAGTAAATATATTATGCTTTGAGAAAGTCACTACGAACTTCAACTTTCATAAGAAAGTTAAAATTATTTACCCCAAAATTATCAAAGCCACATCGCCTGTTCCATTACGACCCAAAAGTCACTAACTGGAGAGTGCAAAAGAAAATCAAATTTACATCCTTATCAAAAAACAATAGCTGGATTAATTGTGAAAAAGGTGCAAAAATCGGAACTCGTAATGTCAAACTAAACTTTACAGAACCAGCAACCCAATTGCAACGCAGGGGAAGAACAACCGCATTATTCTCGAAATCGGCCTCTTAAGATATCAAGCACACGCTTTACAAGTTTTTGACATCTTATTTTGCATATGTTGAGCGCTGCTCAAGCATTGGTTACCATGCAAGATTATGTCCTAACTTTTTATATGTTAACAAAACCTAGTATTGGAGTGTCAACATACTTAAAAGAGGGTTAGTCCCATCTCACAAACCAATGCTATTATGTAAATATCATTCATTTTTTCACCAAACAAGAATTCCTAAATTAATTGTCTACTCATTTAATAGAAGTCACATTTCCGATTGCTTATAAATGATACCATGTAAATTTCAAAAAAAAAAAAATGGCAGAGAAAAAATAATTCAAAATCAAAATTTTCACCTGTTGAAGCTGCTATGTTAAAGGTCGCTGGCTCGCCACTTACAACCGGGTCGGGGGAAATCTCAACTCCCTTGACCTTCACATCATATTTGCCTTTCTTATCTGCAGTTTCAAATCACAACCCAGTTGCCGAAAAACAAAAATCAAAAGGTCGATAAGTTAAGTTTAATGACGGATCTAACACTCTTGCTTCAATAATTTCTTTTCCTGGGTTTTTTTTTCTGGGCAACCAAACACTATGAAAGTTACCCATATTTCACAAAAGAGATTCGCATGCATGCATGTACAGATTTATGCAGCAAAATAATTTAAATGGGGATCACAAAACACACCGCAGTATTTGACGTTGGTGGATTGAGCGGAAGGAAGAAGAAGGAAAAGAGAGGAGAAGAGCACAACGAAGGAAAGCTTCTTCTGGTAAGTCGGTGAAGCCATGATTCTCCTCTCTGGTAAGCTGATTGCTCAGAAATCAGAATCCAAGCAGAGGCGAAGAAAAAAAAAAAAAAAAAAAAACCCAAGTCGGATTTTGCTTTTTCGGTTGATACAGTCTCAGAATCTACTAGCATAGAATTAGTGGGTGGAGTGAGGGAGAAGAAAGAGTTGCAGATGAGACTCCGCAATTTCACAGCACTTCACGTGGAACAGAAATAAAATAAAATCAAATCAAATAATAATAATAATAATAATAATAATGATAATGATAATGATAATAGTAATAATAATAATAATAATAATAATGATAATGATAATGATAATAGTAATAATAATAATAATAATAATAATGACAATGATAATAATAATAATAATCTATCACAAGTTAGGGATTATCATTGTCTACATAGAATAATTATTAGGATTATTATCTGCTAATTATTCTGGGAATTAGATTATCATTGTCTTCTTAGGTGCATTTTTATTTTAGGAATTAGATTTGTTTTCAAATCGGGTGTTAAATTGGCTTTTGAATCATGTTTACTTCAAGCTTTGCTCCTGTAAATAAGACTTTTATGTTAAGTCTATTTTAAAAAAGAGTTTAATTGATTTAATTCATCATTAGTTTTCTTCTAAATTTTTGGAGTGTAAATCAACAAGTTTTGTACTCATACAAAAATTTAATAAGTTTTGTTATTATTGATCTAATGATTTCGGTTCGAATCACACTTAAATTTTTGTTATAATATTTTTTTTTATAAAAATTTAAATTTAATTTTTTTTATTTTCGGTTCGAATCACACTTAAATTTTTGTTATAATATTTTTTTAAAAAAAAATTTAAATTTAATTTTTTTTATTATAATATTTTTTATTATATAAATTTATTTTTTAATTCAAATTTTTAACTCAAAAAGAAGGAAAGGAACGGATAATATATCTATTTTGTTGGCATTTGTAAGTGAACCAACAAGCTAGTAAAAGTCGATATTTTGAGTAAATCAATTTTATTAAAATTGTATTTTTTTTTTCCTGTGCATCTTTTTCGTGCACTTCCACGCAACCTCAATAAACAATGTTAGGATGTGACTCCATTTGTCTTAAATCCGTACCACAACGTGTTACACAACTTTGCCCATAGAAACGGTTTAGTAGAAGGAGCCAAATTATCTTTTATCAAGATTATACTAATATATATGTGTAACCATTTTTATTTATATATGTAATACATAGTTAGTTTGATAAAATACAGAAAACTATTAATTTAAGAAGAATTAAGTTTAATTTATACACATACTTATTATATTAAAATCAAAATCATTATATTAAAAAATAAAAAATAAAAAAGCTAAGGGAGCCGCCCCTGCCCCTTTGTTTCCGTCATTGTGTAGAATGATCCTCTATGGCATTGACTATTGCCTTTTAATACCGGAAGTTTTTCTAGTAAATTAATCTTATCAGTAGTGTCTATTTGTTATTGTTAAATTATGTTAAAATCACATTAAATTATAAAAATATATATAACGAATAATTGACAGTTAAAAATAGAAAATTATCGACAGTTTATTTCTTTTAATCCCCCTAAAAAAGGCTCCCTAAAAGTAAAGTTTAAAAAAAAAAATGCTTGGTAGTGGTGCCCATCAACGGCCTAGGGCAAGTAATTCGTAATGGCATTAAACATTACTTGTGCCCATGAAGAGATACTTCATACAATTGAGTGTGAGGGTCAAGCTTTTAAGGGTGCATTGTAGAACTATAGTACGTTTCAAAATATTTATAATACTAAGCACCTCCTGTCCTTTAAATTTCTATATTATTATCAAGTATGATTAATCATATTTTGAACACAAAATTATTCCTTCTATTATATCTTATTATGAACTTATACATGTACAACATTGCATTTCCTGGTATAGAAATGCAAACTTAAATAACTATAACTAAATTTACACTTGTTTTTTAATTGAAAACTTATATCACAACCTTTTTAAAATAATAGTATAATCTATTAAATTATGAAATTTTAGTCTCGTTCATTTCATCGATTCGGGTTTTTAATTATAGGTTTCTTTAGTTAAAAACTTTCAAAAAATGTCACATCTAACTTTTTCTCTTACAGTTAAAAGCCCTAAAAAATGTCACTTCTCAACTTGAATTGAAAATTCGAATTCGCAAAACAAACGAGATCTTAACTTACCTAAAATGATGATTGGACCACAATCAACAAATTTATAGTCTAATGTATAATGATAGTTGAATACAAAAAGTTGAAAAAGTAAATACATGTCCATTTTCATATACAGCGTATAATATAGAGATTCATAAATAATTTTTTGAAAAACAAATAAAAAAAATTGAAAAAGTAGGCATGAGAGCATGAGGGAATAGGTTGAAATAACAATTGAAGTTTGAGGTTTTGGGAATAAATAAACCATGTGGAGAATTTGTATTCAAAAGGCAATATATATATATATATATATTATCACTAGTATCCCTAAATTTTAATATCATTTTTAGTTTAGCATCTGAATTTTAAAAACACTCACTTTGACTCTTAAAATTTTGAATTGGTCTCATTTAGTTCTTCTTGTTGTAATTTATGTTAAAAACATATAGAAAAAAAGGATAGTAATGGAGTCTTTTTATTTGAATTTCTATTAAAAACAAACATATAATAACCACATAGTTACACTTAATTCTTTTTTTTTCGGTTTGATTTTAACAAAAATTCTTATAAAGGGTTTAAATAGGACAAGTTCAAAGCTCCAAAAGCAAAATGAAAGTTTTACAAGTTTAAGAGTAAAGTAGAAATTACTTTAAAATTTAAGGGACGCCAATAAATTAATCCCAAAAAATGATTAATGTGAGCCATTAAATTTTTAGTTGAAGTACAAAACTTGTTCAACATCGTTCTCCTTTCTTATATCTATAAGATATAAGAAAAGATAAGATACACACAATTTATTCTTTTAGCTACAAAAATAATTGAATAATGTTATGAAGAAAAAAAATTTACGATTTGCCAAATGGTTAAAAAGTTGTAATAATAAAAATAATGAGATTTAAAAAGAAAGGAAAGGTCCTCTAAGAAAACTAAGTAAAGGTGGAATAAAAATGAAGAATACGATGGCAAACTAATCTAATTTCTTTTATAGTGTTTTATTAAATTTCGAAATGTAAATTATAACATGTAAATGTAAATAAGTAAATTTGGAAAAAATTGATTCAGATAGTAATGAATATCAAGCAATCATTTCTTTTTTTAGGATTAATTCTATACATATTCCCTCTATTATGTACCGAACTCAATATGTTTTTAAACTCTAAAATAGTTTATTTAACTCACAAATTGTACAAAATTGTTCAAAGATTTACTCTCAAAATAATGATATGATACCATTTATAATTTTATGAATTTCACACGAACTATTAATTTTGAGTTAATTTATCGTGAATTATTCATTTTGTGTCAATTTTCTTAAATTTGAGGGATATATAAGCTCGAATTGAGAACTTAAATTAAAAAATAAATTTATATGAGATAAAATATTATAAAAATTTGAATTTAAATTTTTTTGAGAGAAAATATTATTAAAAAATTTTGAATTGTGATTTGAATTAAGAAAAGAATGGACTTTATGAAATTATTTTTCTTTTTCTCGTACATTTCACCGATTCGAGTTTAAAATTTGAGTTTTGTTATAGTATAAAGCTCTAAAAAACAGTCAAATTTAATTTTTTTTTATAGTAAAAAATTTTATATAAAATCACATCTCAACTCGAATCAACGTATTAAATGAGCCCGACATTGGCTCACTCCTCTTTTGGTTACTCAAATAAAAAAAAATAAAAAAAAAGAAGAAGAAGAAGAAGAAAGTAAGTGGCGTGGTGTGTGGGGTGTAATTTGGGCAGCCACCTCCGACACTATCTTTTATGATGACTTCAACTGTGAAGAAGAAGAAGAAGAAAGTAAGTGGCGTGGTGTGTGGGGTATAATTTGGGCAGCCACCTCCGACACTATCTTTTATGATGACTTCAACTGTTTTCTTAACAAACTCCTTCAATACCAATTTTACCCAATTTCTTCTCTCTCTCTCACACGATCGTTATTCTTTAGACCCACCACCAGAAAACTAAAAAGAAAATTCCTTCAAAAAAGAAAAAAGAAAAAGAAAAAGAAAATAAAAAAATTCCTCCAATTCATTATATTCCCATAAAAAGAAACAAAAAAAAAGAGAGAGAAAATTATGGAAATTTACTGCGTCTGTTCATCTACTACTTCTACAACAACTACTACTACCTCCTGTTTGATCACTGAATTCCGTCAAAGAAAATGGAGCTTCTGATCCGCAAGTTCAGGCTTCGTCTCCTCTCATGGCTTCACGGATCTCGTCGCGGTACTACAACACTCTTTTTCTGTCTTTTTGTTCACTCAATTTGATCAACTTTTCTCTCAATTCCACGCTTTTTCCTGTTGATTCTTGACTGAATTAAATTCGATTAGATTTGTTCTTGAGTTTATTGAATCTTCGGAATCGGAGTTTTTTAGTTTTTGTTGATTGTGATAATCTTTAAATTGTCTCGAAGCTGTTGCTCTGTTTTTGTCTCCTTTAATTCTGGAGAATTTCGCGAGATTTGAATCTGAAGTTCTCAGTTTATATTTAATTTCGTCATTTTCTTGAGTAATTTGCAAGAATTTGGGGGAAGCACTGGCAGAATTAGAGATGGATGCTAATTATACATTAAAAAAAAAAGTTCAAGTCAACGTAAACTAATAACGGATATTAGAATTTAGAAGCAACTTGGGTTGCTGATATAATATTATTGTCATAAGAGATTTATTGTTGAAGTGATCCGATCTTGTAACTTCCACTTTATTTTGATTAATTATAGATGTGCCTTATAAAGAGGCAAATTCTCTAAAGAGTACCTTTTCTGTTTTTTTTTTCTTTTTTTTTTTTATATTTTTTTCGTGCTATAGTTTTGATGTGATGATATCATGATACAATGAGAATTCATGATAGTGAGAATGAGCCAAGCAGAACAACATTTTTTTTTTTTAATTTTTGTGAATAAGTGATTATGCAAAGCAGAGCTTTAGGACTAAGATAAATAAGTTATAACTTAAGATGAAGTTCTGCATGGATTCAAATATTAACCATTGGCAACTCAACAGTCAACAGAAATACATATTTAACAACATACAGAAATCCATCACCATTTTTTTTTTTCACTATAGCCAAGTTTATTCTTTTCTGAAAATAATAGCTTTTTTTTTCTGTTTACTTTTACCCTGCAACTGATTGAGACCTTACCATTAGATTTCATAGTCTCAAAATGATAACCATGTCTTCAGTTGGGGTTTTTCAATTGTTCCGGTAGATGTCAACAGAAGAAAATTACTTCTTGGTACCTCTTACAAGTTCCGATTTTAGGTCAAATATCATTTATCAAGCGCTTCTCTTACAAGGACATAAAGAGGGCAACAGATGGTTTTCACCAGATTGTTTATAGCAACTCTCATGGAGCTGCTTACAAGGCCAGATTTGAAGATGGTGGAGTTGCATTGGTAAAAGAAAGTGGAGATTTGAATCAAGAAAAAGAAGCGTTCTTTAAGGAAGTGCAGCTATTGGGGCGCTTGCATCATCGCCACCTCCTGGCTCTCCGGGGTTTTTCTACTGGACGTAAGAGGTTTGATGCCTACTTTCTTTATGCTTGCTATTGAATTATGTGTATGCTGCAATAAACTGATAAGGTTGAAAAGGCCTGCCACTTACCAGAAGAATGTAAACAAACCTCACTGCACATCTCCTATAAATACCCATTCCTTATTGAATAGCATATTAGCATACAACTTGAGCCTGAATTGGGTAGAATGATACCTCATTTTGCATGGTATAGAAGTATTTTACCTCTTTGTAGTTTGTACGGTATAGCCTTTTTTTTATTAATATTCTCCTGTTAGATGCTAGCATTTTCTCTCTTTATACGTTATTTTCTCTTACATATTCTGTTCTTGTTTTCACAGTTTTGAATTGGATACTTTCTTTGTCTTGATTGCTAATGAAATTGGATTCTTCTTGTGCAGACAAGTTGCACTATCTTTGTGCTTCTTGTAGTTAAGATTCTTTACTTTTATCACGGAAATAAGCTGCATTATCTTTTTGCAGAAAAGTTGCATATCTTTGCGCGGAGAAGTTGCACTATCTATGCGTTTTTGTAGTTAATTTCTCTTATCAACTTTTTTTTTTTCAACTCTGGTGTTATTGGAGTCTTTGAAACAGTAATCTGTACCCTAAATAATTCATTTGTAGTATTTTAGTGCATCTCTTTGTGTATTGAATAAAATCCTGAACTTTAAATATACATCTTAAGCAAAGATAAAACCCAGTGACTATATCGTTGTAGGTCTTTCACTTCTATTGTAGCGTCAATGATAAACTTCTGTGGTGCCAGCAAATCACTTTAATAATACTGTTGCTCTGTGCAGATTGCTGGTTTTTGATAATATAGAAAATGGTAGCTTGAAGGAGCACCTTAATGGTAAACTTTATAGCAAAATCTGTATGCTTGTGTCCGTGTTTCTGTAGACAAACAAATCTGATTCTTTTTTATTGCTGGTTCTTGACAGACCCCCTTAGGACTCCCTTGAATTGGAGGACAAGGCTACAAATTGCTGTGGGAGTTGTGGCTGCATTGGTATGTTGTGTAATTGTTACAACATTTTGATACTTTAATGATAACATGTTAACTTTCTACGCTTATAAAATCTAACAAAATTTGAAGGGTCCAATATTAAAATTGTATAGTTGATTAAGAAGTAAGAACTGAAAAGCAATATTGCATTAAAATATAAAGCATTTCGTAAAAATTACATATGACATAAAGTTTTAATATATTGCTTCAGTCTAAGAACCCCAATTAAAAGTGAATAGAACTTTTCCTACATCAAATAAAGGTTCTTGGAAGAAAAATGCCTTGTTTAAATAATGAAAGGGGGTTGACCTCCCCATTCCAACTGCTGTTGGATTCATCGAATTGAAAACACTTTTATACTCCTTATAATGTGTCAATCTCTAGTAAACATCAGCTTTGTTGTTTGAAAGAAGATTCATATGCTGGTTCTTATATCTCTACTTAGGCAGCTTCTTTTGGATAATATACCTTACTGATTTTAAGTATGGATTGTGAGGGACTTCTTTCTGTATGTGAATTACTCTTGATCAAATTAGTTTCTTCTTATGCATAGTTATAGGACTTAAGTTTGTTGGTCTGCCAATTTTTGGCTATTCTCAATGCAGGAATATTTGCTTCTCTTCAATGATCCCCCAATCTATCACGTCTCCATCAGTTCAAGTAACATCATGCTAGATGAGAACTTTAACGCGAAGGTAGAAGCCTCGTTTGACTTTATTACGTCTTGTTCTGTTTAAGTAGTTGCAACACTTGAACAGTTCACCTATGAAAATTCGTCTTGGTGTCTTTTGATGCTGCTTTTTAAGTATTTACAAAGACCATCACAAACTTTGAAGTATGATAAACCTTCGCTTTTCTTATCACAGCTCTCTGATATCGGCCTCATAACGTCTGTTGGAGACTATGTCACAGTGCCTCATACCTCTTGTTCAAAAGGTTTGCCTCTTTTTACTCACACCCTCTCAAAATATCCTTTTTTTGTCGATTGTAACTTGTCTTTTCTCCCATTTTCCTGTAGATTGTATGGGCCAGGAATGTGGTAACATTATATACCAACTCGGTGTGCTGATCTTGGAACTCATCACTGGTCAGTCATCAGAGAAGGGAGGTGCTGATCTAGTCCAATGGATTCAGGAGTCTCGATTCAGAAGTTCCATGCACAATATGATAGATCCTGATCTGGGTAACACGTATGATTCTAGAGAGCTTAGAAGTCTCCTGGCTATAGCTAAACTATGTATAGGATCTGGAGACAAGCCAACTTTTTCAGTTCTTCAAGTATTTCGGTATTTCCAAAAGAAGGTAGACATTCCACAGTGAATAGTTGTTTTCGCTTTCAGAAACAGAATTAGGAATTTTTAGTCATTTTTGTAGTTCATTCAAATTTATTGATTGATTCGTAAAGTGTAAGTCGTTTTCACTAGAAGACTAGGCCTCGTTCACTTTGCGGATTCGAGTTTTCAATTTGAGCTGAGATGTGACATTTTCTGAGAGCTTTTCACTGTAACAGAAAAAGTTAGATGTGACATTTTATGAGAGTTTTTTACTGTAAAAACCTAAAACTGAAAACTCGAATCGGTAAAATAAACGAGACTTAAAAGAATCGAGAATCGCTTTCTTTTTATGTTCCTCTCCTTTCCAAGTAAAACAGTTCCAAGGGCATTAACCGTTCCACCAAAAGTAAAAAAAGAGATTTTAATTGTTCCTAGGATGAAAACCTTTCTATCTACTCTATATAAGGATCTTATCGGGTTATGTGTATATTCCATGACATTTAGATAAAATTTATTTACGTAAAAGAAACTTCACATTTGCCTTTCAAAGGTTTCTTATTTTGTTGCTCCCGTTCGTATGTAAGTTTCTTATTTAGCTGTGTAAAATTTCAACAATTTGAATGTTAATGATGTTAACTCGTGAAAATAGCGTGTGAAAAAGGCAATCTTTTCATTCTTCAGAAAGTTTACAAATACAGTTCATCATAGATATAAATTTAAGTCCCCCAAAACAAAAGGTCCTAAAACTAGACCACATATCACGCAACCATATCCTCCTCCAAGTATACTTCAATTTTCTTGTTTACTTTCTCAATCAGCTTCTTCCTTTTTTTCCTCTTTTTCCTCCTCTCCAAGACATCACTGTTGGGCACACTGCACTCTCTGGGCGCCACCTTGCATATCTTCATCTTCCTCGTAGGCCTCCGCCTGAGCCTGCTGCTGCTTCCTCCGCATCTCCTCCTCGATGTTGACATTATGCGGGGTCGTCTCCTCACACTCGTCAAGCTCCATATCTGACAGTGGAGACAATGGCTTTGGTGGTAAGACAACCTCCAGAGCCTTAACATGTTCAGGGCTCAGATAATCTGGGAAGTCCACAGTGAAATGTATGTACAATTTTCCCTTCATGAATGGCCTCTGGTACATTGGCATTCCTTCATCATTAATCGCCTTGAATGAATCTGCCATTTCAAACCACCATAAATCATCAAGTTAATCACAATACAACAACAACAACAACAACAAACCTTAATCCCAACTTAATTGGAATCGGCTATATAAATTTCACTTTTCCACGCAGCTATGTTCGAAATTAGACTTTCCTGAAAACCTAAATCTAAAATATCTTTCCTAACTATTTTGATCCACATAATTCTTAGTCTACACCCCCTCCCCCCAGTATTAGGTATAAGCATGTCCTCCCAAGCACGAACTGGTGCTTCTAGCGGTTGGTCTATCATCAGATTAATCACAATATACCAAATAAATTATTTTTCCATACGAAACATAAGCAAATGATAACTGTGGTTCCACAGAATAGACGTCATAACTTATGGTATTTGGTGATATTTTGTTCTATATTACCAGCTTTTATAAATGTGGTTAGATTAAGACTGCTGATAGGATTCAAGATGATCTTGTTAAATCGGGTGATACTCGACAGTCTTCTCTTACTTTCTAGCTGCCAATTAAGTTTCTAGTTGAATTAATATTACTTAAATACCTCTTATATAACATTGGAAAGTTCTCCATTCTCTCTTTCGCTATCTACATTCTTTCTCTGTAATTTATATTTCCTCTGTAATTAACGAGAATCAAACTGAAAAACAAAAAATAAAAAATAAAAATTACATATTCTTAATCTATATTACTTACCGGGCTTGACGACTTCACCGGGATTTGATTTAATAAGCAGCTGTCTGCCATCCAAGTGAGTCAACACAAACTGGAATCCACATAGAGCTTCAGTGAGGGACAAGTTGTGCTCCACAAAAAGGTCGTCACCCTTTCTCTTAAACTTTGGATGTTCCTTCTGCTGAAGGACAAAAACAATATCTCCCGTGATCGTGTCAGGCTGCAGAAGCGAACACAGCCAAGTAAGAAACCAAATCAATCAATCCATGTCAATTAACAACAAGGCGCAATCCAATTCGCTGCGAAAAAACTCTCGTCAACCATACCGCTTCATCAGATGCACCAGGGAAGGTGATCCTCTGTCCATTCTGCATCCCCTTCTCCACAACAACTTCCAGAACCTTCTTCTCCGGAACTACCTTCTCCCCCTTGCACGCGGAGCAGCGGTCTTTATCGCTGATGGTCTCACCGGTGCCCTTACAGTCATTGCAAGGTTGCTGCATTTGCTGTATCATGGAGGGCCCAAGTTGCCTCATTGTCACCTTCATGCCACTTCCTTGACAGCCAGCACACTGAATTGACTCCCCAGATTTAGAACCCTTCCTAAAAATTTTACCCCATTATTAATAGTCAATTTACCAAACCATCAACCAACTGAGAAAAGGCCACATAAAAAAAATAATAATAATAAAAAAATTAAAAAAATGAAGAATCCTTGAGAAAACACTAACCCTTTGCACTTGGAGCAGATCACATTACGGGAAAGTGAGAGCTTCTTTGTAGTTCCAAGGTAAAGATCTTCCAACGAAACTTTCAATGGGTGAACAATATCTTCACCTCTTCTCTGTCTCCGTCCTCCTTTGCTACTACCTGCGCTCCCCAAACAAAAACCATTCTTTTAGTATTTTCAATGTAACCAAAGACCAACATTAAAAAAATAAAAAAAATAAAAAAACCTTCAGCGTTTTCTTTTCTTCAATGAATTTCGTAGCAGGATATGAAAGAAAATACTCGTGTGAGATCTTTATCAAATTTCATTTAAATGTCTTTTTTTTTATCTATAATAGTTGATGTTCCCATCTAATAACTATGATGATTCAAAACTGTGTCCTACATACGATAGAATTCTCCTTTTTCATATCAACTTCATCTTTTTCTAGTGTGAACTAATGGATAGGAATTGGGAAGATTTTCAATCTATACATACATATATATATATATATATATATATGTGTGTGTGTGTGTGTGTGTGTGTGTAATATATACATATATTGGTGTTATGAATTCCCACCTCCAAAAGGATTGCCACCAAAGAAAGATTGGAAAATGTCAAAGGGGTCATGGCCATCAGCACCGCCGCCCATTCCTTCCTTGAGCGCATCCTCGCCATATTGATCATAGATTTCACGTTTCTCAGGATCACTCAGAACCTCATAAGCCTGAGCCAACTCTTTAAACTGTTTCCACAAATAACAATCGTTAGTAACACAGCAAAAACAAAACAAAAAAAAGACGAAGAACCCAAGTCTCCAAATTCCCAATTTAGGCAAAAAATAAACAGAAATCTTTCTCTGTTTTTTTTTTGACCTTTTCAGGATCGCCACCCTTGTCGGGATGATTCTTAATGGCGGCTTTCTTGTAAGCCTTCTTCAAGTCATCCTGCGAAGCGTTCTTCGACACTCCGAGGATGTCGTAGTACCTCGTGTTGTCGCTCTTCTTCGGCGCTCTTTCGA